TAAGTTGTTGATCCTTTCAATGGAATTTTGCTGCTTTTAACCTAATCCCATGCAAAGTTAATTTTACAAAAGTCCACTGAAAATTGCACGCACAGCTAACTTTACACAGGATAATACTGCATTGGCAATATTCTGAAAACCACAGGAGGAATAGATGAATAACTTACCAAGAGCTGAATTTAATCCAAATTCATACCCTACAAGAGCTGCTTTTTACCAGGTTATCAGGAATCTACTAGTCTGGCGTCATTAACATTTTCCCCTTCCCCAACAGCTGCAGTATATTTTTTTTTAAAAAACTGACTTATTTGATTACTCTTCTTATAGGGAACTCATGTGGCAACACTTAGAACTAGAAGAGAATTTCATACCTCCCATCTCTATTTTTTAAAAAATAATAAACTGCTGTTGAGAGCCACTGCTGTTGGAACTAGACCGGGACTTTTCCACTGTGTGTGTAAATGTCCCCTTGGAAAGCCATGCTCTCCAAGCTGCTTCCTGTACAATTAAGTACTGAAGCTGCTTCCTGTGCAATTAAGTATTCTCTGGCAATTAAGCTTTATCCAGGACTGAGCTGGCCACCCAGTCTGGCCACTGGGTCCTTCTAGAGAGGAAGTAATAGGGAAGTTTCAATTTTTCCTGAGACTTCCCTATTACTGAGGAGCAAGATGCTCTTGCTGAGGAGTAAGATCTTTTACAGAGGACTTTTGAAGGCGTCCTATATTTGAAAGGTTGTCCTTTCTTGTATAATGATAAAGGAACCATCTAAAAGAGCAGCTGGGCTCTGAAATTGCCTATCACTGGACAGCAGATTGATCAGGGTACACGCTGAACAAGGTTCACAGTCTTCCACACTATGGTGAGATGTACTGTATTTCTATTTAAATTATAATAGTTATTTCTAAATGTGCACATAAGCATGTAAATTACCATTTTATGCTAATTGGTGCCCTTTTTGTCCTCTTTTTGGTGATTCATGTCCTCTTGGAGATTCATAACTGGCCCCTATTTTAAGGTCACCTCAGACAGTGCCTATACATCTGCCGTGTCAAACTTACTTTTTTCTGTCAAACAGAAGTACAGCTGAGCTGAAAGCTTTGCCCATTGTTGGGAACACATTTCAGCGCGTTCAGTTCAATGCCTCTTTTGACAGTTGGGCAAAACAAAGACTTGTTCTTTTTCACTGGAATCTTTTGCTACCTATCTCAGCCAATTATTTTCCCCCGTAGTAAATGCTAGGCTCACCTTTAAGAATAATCCATGGACAATCAAGAGGTATCCAAGGGAAGACTCGTGCCACACTGCAGCTAGGGACAAAGGTCACACCATGCAATTAGTTGAGGGAAAATATTTCTACATGCAGATCCCAATCAAAGGGTGAATATTAGGAGCAACTCTAAACAAGACAGTGTTACATTAGGCAGTATCTAGTTAGATGCTAGCACTGATGAAAATTAACTTGTGCTGTCATCACTGATTTACTCCACCAATACAGTAACCTAGCAGAATAGGTTCCCTAGAAAATCCATTGTTTCAGGTAATGTTATTGTTGTTGTCTATAGACTCCTTGTGTGAATGTTTGTTGTTTAGTTGAAAAGTTGTGCCCAACCCATCATGACCCCATGGACAACATTCTGCCAGGCTCTCCTGTCCTCCACCATCCCCCAGAGTCCACCCAAGCCCACACCCACTGCCCCAGTGACTCCATCTAGCCACCTCATCCTCTGCCATCCCCTCCTCCTTTTGCCATTAATATTTTTAAATGTTTTAGCAGTAGTGTGATAATGACAGACAGTGAGAAAGAGTTCTTGTTCCAGCATTCCATATATTATTTTCAGCATTTATTAATCCAGATGTTTTCAAGTGCATACTACACAAACCAAACAAAAATAACACTTAGAAGATCGATGCCCCCTGAGAACATCCAGCAATGGTTTCTATATCTGCCTTGCGGGGAAATCTGTATGAACTGGGTTGCCTACAAAGATCTGATGGTTCCTGATGGCACTATATGCTGCAAAAAGCATAACAAGTCTATCACACGGCACATTGTTCAAATAATCCAGTTCCACATGTGTCACTGTTTAATAGCCAAAAGAATAGTCTTGCCACAATGATTTCAGCTCTAGTAATCACCCAGTTGGGCTACCATATTATAATACATGGTGCATGGGACTGCCCTTGAAGATAACGGAGAACTTAACTGATATTGGAACCACATCGCACCAATTCTGAAAGAGTTACACTGGCTGCCACTAGGCTTCTGAGCCCAATTGCAGATGCTGGCACATGCCTTCAAAGCCTGAAATTGCTTGGGACCCCAAAACCTGAAGAAATACCTCACTTTGCACCAGGCTGCCTATATCTTACAATCGTTAAAGCAAGTTCTTCCCCCTAAACCCTTGTTACGTACTCAGAAATAAAGACTTGGGACACTATTTTGAGTCGTTCTTTAAAACAAAGCAAGCAGGTTTTTCAGGACTGGGTATTTTATACATTCAGGAATTGATAGCCCCTCTTTGAGAGTTTTCTAACTATTTGTGTGTGAGTTAATGCAGTGTCTTTGCTTACTGCTGTCAGTTTCTTTCATTAATTGTTGAAAGGATATTGTGCAAAAAATATTTAAGAAACAACTTTGCCAAATTTGGCTAGTGATATATATTCATTATTTTACATCTGCTTTCATTAAAATGTTGCCCCATTGCCTTATCAGTTGAAATGGTTCTAAAGAACACATCAATGGTTTTTGCAGGATATTTATTTATAGAGCAATTTAAACAACTCTAAGAACACATGCTATTAAAAAAAGAAAAAAGAAATAGCCTAAAATCAGCATTAGAGCTTCTTGGGTAAATTAAATGCATTTTGATTTTGTGGATTAAAATACAGAATAATTTTGTCCCATTGCTGCCTTACTTTGTTTTTGGTTTTTGGTATGATACTTAAAAATGCATGAGTGACACTCTTTATGCTATTAAGCTTTTTATTGAAAAAAATTATTGCATGAAACAACATTCCCAGAAACAACTTGAATAACCTAAAAAAAAGCTGCATTTCATGTTCAATAGTGCAATTCACTTATCTACTTTATAATATAAAACACTTTTTACAGAGAATACAAAACAAATAACTAGTTTACAGATTATATTTGCCAGAGTATTATTTAGTTTTAATATAAACTAAACACTTTGAAAAATGAATCAAGTGGCTTTTCCTTTTTCTTTCTTTGCCTTTTCTTTTCTTTCTTTCTTTTTTGGAAAACTGCATAACAAATATACATGTTCAGTATTTTACACAGATGCTTTAATAATAGGAAAACCATTACAATTGATGGATTGGGCTTACCTGATCATTTTTCTCCCAGCACAAAGTGAACTTTTCTAACAACTCTGCCGTGAGACTGGGATGGAGTTGTGATTTGCAAAGGATGCAAAATGCAGTTTGAGGACCTAATTTCTGATGCTTTCGAAATACATGGCAGCCTGCAAGTTCATTGCATGTTGGATCCTTCTTAGGGTTCATTTAGGTACAGTGTGTGAGAACCATGATCAGAGATCCTACTGGGAGGTGGACAACTGGATCACGGCTGAGGCACCGAGGGAGGCATTAACCCTTCCCTTACAGTGCCATTCTACATATGACTACTCAAAAATTAACCCCACTGAGTGCAAAGGAACTTCCTGCCAAGTAGGTGGGCATGGAAAAGAAGCCTTAACAATTTAAATAGCCCACTTCTCTGCTGGGAAATAGTACGTTCAGAGGACAGCTGAAATCAGGAAGACCTTGTGGGCTGAGGGGCTGAATGCCCCTCACCGGATGCCTGGTCCCAGTCCTTTGGGAGTCTCCTGCCCCCAGGCTGCTGCTTGCAACTTCTCAGAGCCGGTCCTGCCTCAGACACAGGTCTCTGCAGATCTCACCAGTGGGTGAAACTGGAATTTTGTGATGGGACAAAAGTGACGGAGGCACCGCTCCCTCCCTCCATTTCACTTAGCAGGATGACAATCAGCCAGGACAATCAGCACAAGGCTGTATATCAGTACCCTGAACCAAATTATTTTACTTGGAAATACTTACATTTCATATTAATGGCTGGCTTTCAAGTCACTATAAATAAGGTCCACCATCCAAAACTGAAAGATACTTAGTCTTACTAAGATCATGGATGTTATAGTTTATATTTGAAGCTTAGGATTTAGGTGTCTTCCACTGTGTGTTTTAATTTCCACAATCCTAGACTATCAAAATTATTTCCATGTGCCTTCTTAATGTACTTGAAACAGTATACTGACCCGATCTCTTTGATGCTGGGGATGTTAAACTGGGTTGCACAACCTTCCAGATAAATTAATCATAATAATAACAACCCCACCCCCCAGCACACCAATTTGTGTATCTATGTGCCACATGATGCTTTGACTGATTTGGCAAAGCTGTTTGCCTAGGAATTGGCTTCTTATTCTGGGTGAACGCCTACAATTCTTCCCAAACAGGGAGAAGAAAAGTGGATTTTGCTGTTAGCACTAAAATAGCACCAGCCTAGATTTTGTGCCCATGCAGTGCATATGGGGATAATACAGCCACAGGTGAATCATATATTTGTTGCTTGTTTCCTTTTTAGAAAGATGTTCACTGCAAATGTACAAACGTATTTCAAAAAACCCACTGCAACATAAAAGTCCCCACTGAACCGTAACATAAGCTGTAAGGAATGAGCACGGTGTCGTGTGACATGACTTCATTTATCAGTTTGATGATCAAATTAACATCCATGTGCTGTGTCAGCCAATCCGTGCTTTCCCTCAGCATTCTGGAGGCACTCTCGGTATAGAAGCCATAACTTCCCATAAGATGTGCAATTAGTCTACTAAATGGGCATTTCCATTCCAAATTGCTTTCGGGAGCATAGGGAGATAACTTTGCTATTTTAAATAATACAAAACAACAATTACATCTGCTTTAAAAATGTTCTTCATTTCTGGTAACTGATGCCTCTGCCATGGTCAAGAAGGATGCTGAAGTTCCTGACCCTGGAATAAGGGTTGAATGAAAGGATTGAGATGAATTGCTGAAGAGGCGGCCACATTCAGCTGCGGTGTGAATAAGGTGGGGATGAATGCCGTGGGGGGCAGCGGTGGGAGTGCCAGATGGGGCGGGTGAAATGGAGTTGCTGACACCAAGTGGAATGGGTGCCCCGCCAGTAGTGCTGAGTGGGCAGGCATGAAGGTTGGCGCGAAGGGGGCCAGCGAGATCGGCGCAAAAGGAGACGGTGTGAATGGGTGCACGTGCCGGAGGGAAAGATGGCTGCTGTGGGGATGGACTCCCGCGGACAAAGCGAAGCTCTGCAAAAGCGTATGGTGGAGAGTGGCGACAGAAGAGCACTGCTGGACCGGAGGAGGCTGGGCAGCTGGGGAGGCCGAGAAGGCGGCTGGCCCTGCGGCAGGCAGCACTTTGAGATGCTTTGCCACAAGCTGTTTCTGCATGTGCTGCTGAGCCTGCAGCTGAAGAAACCTGTATTTGTCTATCTCATCGGGGGAAAATGTTATAGGCTGCTGTGTTAAGGGAGAGGAGACACACTTAGGGCTCAGTTCAGTCTTGTTTGCTGCTTCACTGGACTTATGCATAGCACTGTCAGAGTTACAGTTTAGATTATTCCCTTCCCCTTGATTCAAGGTCACGTTTGCATTGTCTTCTTCTTTGGTCTCTGTTAGATTTGGAACAGCAGGATATCTATGAGAAGGGAAAGCACCAAGAAAATTGTTTGGCACTGGGTCACAGCTTTGCAGAAGGGCTTGCATTTCACCAGTTAAGAGATGTGACTGCTCCTTTATTGCTGTGTCCTTTTCCATATTCGGGGCCTGATTGCAAGTCCCTCTTTGAATTAAGCCTTGCAGCAGGCAATTACCATAGTCAGCACTAGCTGTAAGAGCAACGTTATCTATTGCGACTGGATCTTTGTCTGTGCTGCTTTCCATTGGGCTGCTTTCCTGGTTCCACACGCCGCTGGTACTGAAGCTGAGGGCTTTCTGGGGTGAAGGTAACATTGCCTCACTGCCTGCTGAAGATGCACATTTAATACCAGGTTGACTCAAGGGGGCTGCTACCCCACAGGCGTTTGCGCAGCTCCCCACATTCTGACTTTGCTCCTGGTTTTGCTTTGATTTCACCTTCTCTAGAAGCAGCCTGGCAGTTAGGGACTTCTTCTGTCCCACTGCTTTTCTTCCAAAGGGGTTGATTGAGCAAAGGCCAATATATTTTGATGGGCAACTTGCATGTTGGCAGCCTGCATGTGTAGAGTCCAACTTTCCTGGCTCTGCACTGCCATTGCTGTTCACATACTTTTGGAATTTGTCCCAGTCTTTTGCAAGGGATCCTGAACTGCTGCCTCTTGTCCAGGTGCAACTTGATGATCTGTCGCTGCTTCCTGAATCTTGGATTGAAGAACCTTTGGAGCTGCTGTAGCTCCTGCTTCTGCTGTGTTTACAGAACGGGTGTCTCTTTCTGCTTTGCTTTGATGCATCTCTTTGTAGTAAATGCCTATTCCTTGAATGCCTTTGATATTTTCCTGTGTGCCTCTGTGTACAGTTTCTAGATCTTTGACTTTTTTTGTTGAAAAGGCAGTCCTCATCTGCATCATCAGAAGATGAAATGCAATTGTGCTTTTTGTGTTTACATTTCTGCCTTTCAACCGGCTTTTGTTTCCTTTTGCAACAAAAAGGCAAATGACTTCTGCTGTGATCACTTGATCTGTGACTCGAGTAGCAACTTGCATAACTAGTCACACTGCTAACACTGGTGTCAGAATAATTAGACTGTCTGTCAGAAAAGGGCTGCTGCAAAGAAGAGAATTTCCAGCAACCAGCAAAACTCCCATTGCTTTCTTTTCTCAAGCACTCTCTAGGGGAGCCCAGGTTGTATCCGAGGATGGAATCTTTCCCACTGTCACTTATGTCACTGGTGCAGCTGACCAAATCCAGCTTGTCTTGTCTTTGGGAATACATTAAATCGCATTTTGCACATTTTTGCTTTTTTGTCCTAGACATGAAGGGATAGATACAAAGTTTTTCAGTTACTTCACCATCCAGAGTTCTTTCACAGTTCTGCAAGTGCTGTGCTAAAGACTGCATCTGCGCTGTCGTATGAGGACGCGTAATTCTTGTGTAATGCCTTTGTGAGCAATCAAGGTGAGCAGGCACTTTAGGTATGTTTTCATTCAAATAATCTGACACGTACTTTGGAGCACTTGGATTGATTTCATTCTCTGTGTCTGAATCTAATTTTGGCTGGGACTTTTTGAGGCTTAGAGCTCGTTTCTTCTTCTTTGGCTTCAGAGACTGATTATCTTGTTCATTGGGCTCTTGCTTGTTCTCATTTAGACCCGAGGCTTCGATCCCATCAATGTCCATAGTTTTTGAGTGCTCTTTAGGACTTTCAATGTTGACTTCAGGATGCCCAGTGTCTCTATGTGACAAGGAGAGTCTAAAATCAAAATATAATGGGTTACAACCATAGGAAATGGAAGGTTCTGTTTTTGTAAACAAAAGAAGTTCAGTGGGCCACCGCAAGGCAGTGTTGCCATCTTTACTTAGAACATGAAGAAAAGGCAATGCTTTAGGCTTAATTTCATGAACCAGGGTTTCACCCCTAGGTGTTTCAGCAGTTGTATTCATCGTTTTTGAGCGATCAGGAGATTGGTTGAATATACAGGGATTGTAGTTAACCTCAGGTGGAAGTCCTTGCTGAGATGAACGTTGGGCTGAAAACTTGGAGACACATTCTGCTAACAGGACATCACTGTGCTTGTACGTGTTTCGTTTCACACAAACATTGCTAGGTTGGCACTGCAGGGTAACAACACTTTCCAAGGATTTCTGGGTGCCATTTGATGGTCTTCCAAGTTCTCTTCTAGCAGGGGACTCCTCACATTCCAAACCTGGAGGATGCAGTTGGTCTTTACAAAGTGAAAGTTGAATTCCCACTTGCTCTCGGTTGACCTGCTGATCATTTTCTTTCTGCTTTTTATTTTTCCCAGCCAGACTGCATGCTACAATGGTGTCTGGGTGCCCTTGAAGTGTATTTAGCCGTTTTGGCACATTTGCTTTCCTCTCATCACTCATATGTATGCAAGCATGGCACTCCTTGGGTGTTTGTTTTGCTTTATGCCTAGGTGAACCGGTACAGTCCTGCACTTCTTCCATGTTTTCACTGAAGACAGATGCAGATGACTCAAGCCTCAAATGGGCTTTTTTAGAGAAGGAAAAGGACACCCCGGCCCGATTACAGGCATTAGTGCCACAAGAAAAGGCTGGAGAAATGCGATTTCTTAGCAAATGCCGCCTCTCTACGCAGGACTGGTTCCTGCTTAGCAAAAGCTCCTCTTGTTTCCCTAAAGTGCTGCTGCTGAGACTTTGTCCTTCAGTGTTCTCGACTTTCCCTTCTTCAGCTAAGAGATGTTTTTCTTGTAGTTGTTGCTGTTTTTCTACCACCACTTGGGGAGTCTTAAATACAGGCCTGCATCCAGCAACACTATAAACAAAGGATACAATAAATAACTTGAGTTAAACATGAATTCAAATTTTCAGAAATTGTTAGCAAAGTTCATTGAGAACTATTGGCACGAGTCATTACTATGAAGTCCATCAACCAGCAGCATCAAGGATGTTCTGGAAGGCATCTAACGAAGATAATGGAAATAACTGGGGAGATACAGTTGCAGAACAAATGTCTCCTTAACTGTTCCAATGGTATGGAGATTCATGGACACTATGCGGGAGCAGGTTCACCACAGTCTGAAAGGTTGGTATGATAAATGGTATCTTTTTTGGTATGTATGACTTTCCAGTGAGTGCTTAGCACAGCATGCTGGAGAGCCAGAGTTGTATGCTGGTCAGAGTGTCGGACTGGGGCCCTGAAAGATCCAGGTTGCAGTCTCTGGTTGGCCAGGAAGCTCTGGGTCAGCCAATCACTCTCATTCATAGGGCTGCCGTGGCTAGAGATGACTTGATAGCATGCAACAACGACTACAGATCTTAATAACAGTAACGATCAGAGATGACTAAACCAGGAGGCCACTTTTATGACACTTACTACTCTCCCTCCAAACTGCCTCATCTTGCAGACTGCGCAATGAACAATGAAATTGTTACTGTTGCGTCATATAAGATGCAGTGCCCAGAAGAGAAGAAATGAAGGAACAGTCCAACACGCTCCTTTTTGGCACTTGAGTCACAGTGTGGGTACTGGAAGGGCTTACTATTTGCTCAGTGCTATTGCTACATAGTCAATGCTGCTTATCTGTGCTGTGACTATAGTGCATTGGCAATGTGATCCCTGATAGGCTAGGACCATATAACAGGTCAGAAGAGTTAGAATGCTACCAACCAGTGGTCAGGAGAAACAGCAAGCAAGGTTAGAAAGGTGTGAAAAAGATCGGCTTATTAAGCAGAGTGAGTGCCAGGGAACTTTTCTGTTTGTACAAAGCTTCCTTTTTCCCCTGAAAATATTTGCTTCCCAAAACTCAGCACAGTACTATTAAAAATCATTCCATTCAGATCAGATTAGAAAAAAGGAAAACCTCCAGCCTTTAAATGCTGATGAATTAAGGCAGGACTTCCAATTTTATGGCTTGTTTGGAACCAAGAATAAATTTTAAAAAGGGATTTGCAGAACATGTGATTATGATCTGTGTAGTATATAAAGCAGAAGTAAAGTTATGGAGATTTCTTCTGGGACTGCTGAGGAAAAATGAGATGAGATTAAAATGTACTATAAGATCCAAACTCATACCATTCCGACTGCTTCCGCAGCTCTGCCAGCTGATGGAGGCGTTTGAGTGCTTTTTCCTGTTTCTTCTCATCTTTCCAGGACTTTGAAGCAACATTCCGTGCAAATTCCCTTTGTTTTAGCTCTTTCAGTCTCTGCATGAAAAAGGTACAAGAATAAAAGATGATGCACCTCCTTCTTAGTTCATTATGCATTTTTCTGCACACACAACCAGGCAAGAACATGAGGCAAAGCTGATAAAAAGCCATTATAATTTAACAAGTGATTCCCAAAGAGGTTTAGCTGTTTTCATCAGGGGAATTTATTTAGCTGCTATCTTGATACAAAATTGCATCTCTGTCTACTATACCTAGATGAGCCGTCTCCACACATAAATGACATAACCAGATGTAACAAGAAGACAACAACCCAAGACGCCAAAAGCAATTGCAAGGTTGAGCTGTGAGCTAGAGATGGTGGTGCACACCTGATTATTTTTGGGGAGATGGAGATGGGATCGCCCATTCAGTGTCTGACACTCTAGAATGAAAAAGAAAGGTAGATTTCAATTTCAAATTGGGTGGGATCCAGAATTAGACATATAGAACTAAGCTGGCAGAAGTGGACTTCCTCATCCCCTTCCTTCTTACAGAAGCCCCTCCAGTCCTCTCTGAAAATGCTACACAAAGGGTTGAGGGTCCTTGTTCAATGGATGAACTTTGGTGGAGGGCTGATGGGATCCTTGAAAATCAGATAGAGACCTCTTCCATCAGCAGGGCCTTCCATCAGCTGACTGCAGACCCTGGATATCCATTTACTGACCCATATTTCTGTATCATATTGGGTCTACTTGCACTGACCCATTGAAATCAGTGGTGCTTGAATTTTCTTGCAGTTAAGTGATATTGATTTCACTTGGTCTACTTTAAGTATGACTAGGTCTGGATCCAACCTGCTGTGTATAGGATTAGATAACCTGTGAACAGGATTAGATTTATACATAAATGATTAAACAGAAGACATGCACATCCACACTTAAAGAAAGCAATTTCTTGTCTAATATTCTCTAAAGGCATATTTCTATGCTAGTAAAGTATATATAGATGCCAAACCTGTAAAATTATTCCACATACTCTGCTTCTAGATATCTTATGGTTGATTCTGCACCTTAGCCAACATTTTCTTGCCAGTTTTTAATGAAACATTATATAGTTGCACTTAGCACTTGAATGCAACTTGAGAAATAAATTGTGTTGTTGGAAATGGACCCTAAAGAGCTAGTTGAATAAATCCCCAACTATTTTTCAAAACAGCATCAAAAACAGCTGCTGAATGAGCATATGTTGAACAGTGAGCATGGACACAAAATATGCAGTTGTGGCATTTGTATGGCTAACCAATTGCATGAAGATGCCAGCTTGCTTTGCATCCCAACAGGCACTGCTAAATAATATCAAAATAATTGCACTCATACATAGGGCATTCAACCAAGATAGTGAGCTTGGGAATTAACATGTATTAAGTGTGCAATTACATTTCTTCATGCCATTAGCTACCTAACTGGCTGGTGAAACCTAGTCAAATGTGCAAAAGTATGATTTATTTTATCAAAATCTATTGATTGGTCTTTGGCTCCTACAAATAACAATTGCAAGACATTTACACTAGCAAATGGGCACATAAGATGAGGAGTAAGAACATCCATTCCTCAGCACATGTGGTTTTATCTGACACTATGGGACGACTCGGAATATTGCAGACATGACTGCATGAGTTGTAACATGAACTGGCCAAAGGCTCTACCTGAGAAGGAAGAATTAGCAGACAACCAGGGCAAAATGCTACCATTGGCAGGTATTTGCTTAAGGAGACTCTGGTGCCCAAGTCCATGAGGGGGCCGGATAGGTTCTGGGAATGCAGAAGTGAGCAATACTGTAAATTATACCCCAGGACAGTGGAATTCACACTCTCAAGGCCAGGACAAGAGATTGAGTGCAATAAGGGCAAATAGTCCTCAACTGGGATCCATCCTGTGTTGTCACCCCATGAGCTGTCCAATCGGCGAAGGGGAGTAAAGAGAGAGCCTGCAGGGGCTCAGGGTACCTCTTTGAGGAGGGGTTTTCACTCTTGCTGCCAGACTCCTTGCTAAAGAACCATGTGGCATTGATCTGTACAAATCGCACAGTATCTCTGTATATAGTTAGGCTAGGTGAAGTTTTGTTATTTTGTGTCCAAGGAGGCAAACCAGGCCTGGGGGTTTTGTGGGTTTCAACTGAAGTGTGTCTGTGCTGCTCTTCAAATCCCCCTTTCCTTCCCCTTTCCTTCTTGTGTGCATTTGATGCCTATACAAGTTTTAGTATCTTGCACCCCTATCTTTTAACCTTTTAACCTCCAGCAAGCACTGACACAAGGAGTGGGGAAGAACTGGGTAGAACCCATGGCTTTTATTCAAGCATTGTTGCCACTTGTTACAATGGACTGACAACAGACAGCTACTGAGAATACATGTCAAGAAATTCGGATTGTGCCCCAGATTTTTATCTTGTAATTTAGACTTAAGCCACAAATTGATGCAACACAGACTTAGCAGAACATACTGGGCTGTTTCTACCTGTTCATCAGAGAATGATGGGGGCTTAGTATTTGGCTGGATGCTACAAGTGTGTTCTACCTCAGGTTGGCTGAAAAGTAGCCAATTAGCAAGCCCAGCTCAACACTAAAGTGCATCGTGTCCAGCACCTCTTTGGTAATGTTGGATATCCTTGACTATTAAGATGTTATTGAAGATGGGGCTGTAACCAAGTCCCATAAGAACAAGTTAACTAGGCATTGCACTGGGCTGGGAGGATTTCAGAGATTTACTGGAATAAACAAAGCCCTGCTTACATTATGTTTTGAAAACTCTGGATTTACTTTCAAAAGAGGTTATGTTTGATAAGGAGAAACAAAAACAATTTTAGAATAATTTATTTTTCTAAATAGACAGAAAAAAAGCATGAATGCAGCACAACCAATAAAAAGATTTGGAAAATGTCTTCAAAATTCCAACCATAAAATCAGTACGATAAACTTATTAAACAGCATAACTGGAATGCATGTCTGAAGTGTAGAGTATTAACCATCTAAGCAATTGGCAGAAAGAGCAGTGGGAGAATTCACTTTCACCATGGTAACTGGCATTCTAAAAATAACTTGAAAGGCTATTACTTTTCAGGATTAACCATGTCAGAAAGACAACTTTAAAATTAACTGATTCATTTCTGTTTGTTTTCCTGACTCACAAAACTAAACTGCTGATTACGGAGAAATGGGTTCAGTAGCCATCCCATGTCCAGGTTACATGCACAAATAGTGATTCGCCTTTGCTGATGTGCAACCTTTATGCATTTAGGGTGCAGTCCTCTGGCCTTCTGTTGTTGTCTGGTGGGCCACTGGGTGGAATGGAGCCTTAGCAAAGTCCCAAATACAATTTGGAGGTAGGACTCCAAAGGCCGAGCCCCTGCTCTGCCCCTCACAGCCAGCATGGAAAGAACCTGTCCAACTGACTTACCCAAGGATGCAACTTGGAGTGGAGAAAAAGTGGTGTACCAAGAACATGAGGAGAGAAGGATGCAGGGGGAAAAGATTTCCACTGATTTATACAGGCATCCCAGCCTACTTCCTTTTCTCTCCTGATGTTTAATCTAGATGGTCAATATGGCTGGGGAGATAAAAATCAGGGCATGAGACGCAAGGGTAGCAGAGACTGCATTGCTTCAGTCAGAATATAGCAACTTAGTTGCATCAAAGGCAGGTTTGATTAAGACTGGGTCCTAAGTTGGCTAGCTATTACTATCTATATAGCACCCTTTTCTTTCTTTTTGTTAAAAAGCCAGGCCTTTAAAATGATCAAAGCATAGCATGCAGAACCACAAAACTTCCAAGGGATCCATGAGTTTCCTCTTCTCATCCCTGCTTACATGCTAGATGGGCTTCAGGGAACCCAAACATTGCAAGTGCAGAACAGGAGGTAGGAAGCCCTTTGTTATTCTTTGCACCACGCCTGGTTCCTACAGGCTGGCTTAGGACAGACAGGAGGCTCTGAGATGGGAGCTCTACATCTACTAGGCATCACTTACTCCATTTATTCTGAAGTTTCTCACGGGGCACCCCTGCCTCTTGGAGCTCTGTTCAGAGAAATATCAATGGTCTTTATCCTTTCCAAATAAATGGAACTAAATACAAATCCATGCAATTTATTTAGAAACATAGAAAAAAGGGGAGTCAGAAGGGAAGAGTCCACTCTTTCCTTGAACACCCTCACTGATGGGGCCTCAACCACCTCCCTTGGAAGTCCATTCCATATCCTGGGGTCCTAACCATCAGGAAGTACTTCCTGATGTCCAACCTGAAGCCTGCTTCCTTGAGCTTTGCCCCATTGGAAAGTATCCTGCCCTCCACTGCAGGGAAGAACAGATCATGGCCCTCCTCCACATGACACCCTCTGACATACCTATTTCAAATCATCCTCAAGCATATGAACGGCTGCCATCCCCAAAAGTCCATTCTGCTGAGTTCAGCACATTTTCAAACATGAGTGTAGATTCCTAGCAGTAACTCTGCAGTTCCAGGAGATTTTTCAAAGCTGTTAAAATACTGGAAAGCATTTCCCAGAAGAGGGGGATTGAGGGAGACAAGGGGAAGGAAACTTTTTTTCCCTTGGGATTAGAGCTAGGATTGGTCCTTCGGATGAAGAGGTCATGTTCATTTATGTGATTCCTCTCAGTAGTGAAAATGCAGCTGTTGTGAAGCTCGGCCACTTAACAAATAGCACTTACTTGTATCACCAGAGGCAGGCAGATGATAAAATTTTGGAGAACCAGGAAAACACTTCACCAACCATGAACATGCAATCAAGTGGCCATTTAAAATGTAATTTAAGGAAACCAGCCACTGTCAAAAGGACTCAGCCTCAGACATTCATACCTGTTGCTAGGGTTGTGTGATTTGGGAAAGTGCATTTGATTTTAATTTGCTGCCCAGGTTCTAATTAGCTTCTAAATGGATTTTTAATCTTTTAATTGTTCCTCAGGAATTTGCTTGCTGTGTGGGGAGAGCTGGTCGTGTGTATATAACACTGAAATCTTATCTTTGGTTTACATAGTGGTTTATAATT